AAGGCAGAGGAAATGTTTTGAGAATGATGAGAGCAATGAATGTACAAATGTGCTTTACCCAATTGATGTATGTATAGATTGTGATAAGAGTTGTATGAGCCCCTAATAAAATGATTTAAAAAAAAAGAATTATGTGTCGAAACTGCTAGGATGTGCTGGTAGACAAGGAGGAGGAGAGAGTTGCGGGGACAATATTAGAGAAAGGGGCCGGGGGAGAGTGTCGTATACCATTGTGCTTGGTTGTGACTGAAAAGATTGGAGGTTTGACTACACTTGGAGGCACCTCAGAATAAAAGTCTCTCAACCTGCTCCCACACAATCAGCCTAAGGAGCACAGTGTTGGCAGATGAGGGGTAGTGACGAGTCAGAGTCAACTTGGTGGGAATTGGTCTTTCTGTAAGCTTCCTATGGTTATGACTCTAGTGGACTCTTAGCACTTTTGAGTATCTGAGTCATTTAAACAGAAGAACTCCTTATCTTAGAATCATGCCATGCACCAGGGTATACTATAGCTCTGTTCTGCTGCAACTTCATGATAATGGCCCTCAGAGCTCACCTAGACAGGAACGCAGTCCACTTTTCTTAAGCGGTTCAGGTAGGATCATCTTTGATAGAAGTTGGTGCCTTTCCTTTTTTCCCCTCTTTGATTATAATTGCGTATTTCATCTGTGTTTTTAATATTTTTTTTACTTGGTAGCAAATAATTGGGACTGTGACTTTTTGAAATAAAATTGTAGTGGAGTGGGGAGGAACCCATAGTTTTTAACAAGTTATGTTGAAACTTTTTTGTAGCTTGATTGACTGGAATAACCCTGCCATTATTAACAAGATGTACAAGGTATACCTTGGAGATATACCATTGAAGACAAAAGAGGTGGGTTGTTTTAGTTTATTTTCTCACACCATTATAAAAAGTGTTTTGTTATTTTGATATAATATGAGCCTATGCTATAGGAAATAGTTTTAAAGTTTTACTAATTTAGCATATTAAAATCTTGGTAATTTAATTTTTCTGATTTGATATTTTCAATTTAGGCTCTTAAGTAATCGATGGTATATTCTCTAAATTAGGGAGCAACAAACTTATTTAGACGTCTTTATGGGCCACAGGCTCAGTTGCTACAGCTGTGCAGTGCTTGGTGATGTGAGCGCACCCATTGACAGCACGTAATCACACAAGAGGGGCTGTGTTCATAACACTTTATGGCCGCTAAAGTGTGGATTTTATGTAATATTACAGTGTCACACTATTATGATTAAAGCAATTTTTTAAAATGTAAAAACTATTCATAACTCACAGCCATTACCGAGACAGGTGGTGGGCCAGATTGAGTCTGAGAGCCCTAGTTTGCTGACTCTCTGTCTAGAACTGGTAATAATAGGTGAGTTCATGTGAAGGCCCAAAGGGAGCTGTTTGCTTAATAACCCAAGTCCTTTTTAGTTCTCAGTGTTTGAAAGTATTCCAAGTCCTAACCTGAGCATACAGGGTCTGTTCCTTTTGTTTACATACTTGCTTTTCAAACTTAAATACTTCTAAAAAGCATATTACTTCAAGTCAGATTAAATTGATTGTGTGGTGTAGCAGAAAGGGCAGTGGATTGGGACTGGGCACTCTGGTCCTAGCCTGACTTTATTGCTGCCTGATTACAGGTGGTTGCTGTAGAGGAGAGGTGTGGCTAATCACAGAACTCCTCTGAGCCTTAGGTGGTTTATGTAGAAAATGAAGAGGTTGGATTCGATCACTAGTTCTCAGTATATTCTCCATGGGTCTTTGTGGGGAGTCACAGAGAGCCTTTTAAGGACTCATGAGGTAAAATTTAATATGAAATTATCTTTTTTTATTGAGTTTATACTTGCTGTGATGGTGCAAAAATATAATTGCTGGAGTCTTAGCATGAATCACAGCTGTGTCACCAAGCAATACTAGTAGTCATTGTCTTTTTCATTGTCACACCCTTAGGTTAGAGAGCAGAAAAGAAAAAAAAAGGAGGAGGGGGTGGAGGGAGGCTTCAGTTAAGAATATGCTTGATGAGGCATTAAAATTGGCTAACTTCAGCAAATCTCTACCCCAAATTCACATATTTTTGATATTCTGTGTGACACAATAAGAAGCACACATAAAACACTTATTTTGTACTGACGTCTGGTGACTGTCCTGTGGAAAAGCACTTGTCCAATAGAGTTGCATGTAGAGCTATCAGCTTTTATCATAGAGTACTAGTTTTACTTGAGTAGATTTGCAAGTTGGTAACTATTGGTATTTGTCATATATTCTTTCTAGAATGAACCATGAGTTTGGCACCTCAAAAACAATAAGAGCAATGATGGTAGTGATAAAAATTGTGTTTTCTTGCACAAATTAAAATTTTGAGGCACTTGTGTTCAGATTAATCTTGACAGCTTGAGGTTGTTGGTGATGTTAACATGTGACTGATTTTGAATATTGTGTGATGAAATAGTTACATGATTCAGTGACCCAATATTTTCTAAATCACTAATGATACTACAAAAGCTTATATCAGTTAGAGACCTATTCAAAGTGATAGGCCAGTACAATTTAACCAGTATGTGAAGTTTGTACATAAGTCTTCTAAACCACATTTCAACCTTAAACTATAATTTGTCAAGTTTTTTGGTAATATCAAAAGTTACCATACGTACTCAAGTATACGCCTACCCGAATATCAGTTGAGGCACCTAAATGTGCAAAAAACTTGGCTTATACATGAGTATATGTGGTATTCATAGTTATTTGAAAGGCTAAAATCATTCCCTCTTTTCCAAATACAAATAATCCGAGGTTGGGTTGGTGTGTTGTCTGCCACACACCCATACACCAAAAAATTGAACGAGAGCAGATATACAAACCCAGCTGACTGCTATTAAAGGTGAATATTAAATATTACATTTGAAAAAAATGTAAAATATTGCTACTTATTTCAGTATGTTTACTTTAGGTATAATAAAAATATATGTCACTTGAGGAAATATTTAATGGATTTATTATTTTCAAATGAACAGATAGTGAGATAGTTCTCATCTTTAATGTCCAATATTGGTAGGCTTGTGTTGTAAACAAAAGTTCTTTGGAGTCCTTAGTAATTTTTAAGAATGTTAAGGGGTCCTGAGATGAAAACTGATGAACTGCCGATTTAGATGATATCTCCTAACACTTTTGGTTCCAAATAACTTTGAAATAAAGAGTTACCATCATGCATATTCGACAGGGAGCAGTTCTGAAGCCAGAGTTGAAAAGGGACCCAGTGAGCACGAGGGTCAAGTTAAAGATTGTCCCCCATCTCCTACGTTCTAGACAAGCTGCTGAAACGTTCCCAGCTAATATCCAGGTAATTTGTTCTTTTCATAGGAAAAAATGGACTCCTCGCAATTTTTGTTTCTATTTAATTAGGGAACCAAACCAGAATCACTGCCATGGGGTCAGTGTCAGCCCACAGGGACCCCATAGGACAGAGCAGGAACTGCTTCATGGGGCTTTATGGTTGTAAACCTTCGTGATGCAGACACTGTCACCCATTGAGAGATAACAGATGCCTTATGGAAGGTGGTGTTGGTATCGTGATGAAAGAAGAGTCTCATTTAAATGATAAATGTTTCATAAGTGTTAGTTATTCTAACCCCCCACCAAAAAAACCCACCTATTAGTTCTCTGATTCTTTTGCTTCTGTTATCCATTTGTCCTACATAATAAGGCACTATCAGATTAATTTTCTAAAAAAATGTCCATTTCAAATAATGTCACACTTGATTATATCTTGCTCTATGTAGTTTTTATTGTGTGTTTATTTTAACTTGTTTTGATAGCAGTGCCTGCTTGTTTTATATCTGACACTGTGTAGCATGGTGACTGTTGTATATTAGTTGTTCAAAACACTTTCAGCTCACATATTGTTAATTAAAAATCAGAATACTGCTAATAGTTTTCAAAACCAGTGTAGGGAGGTGGTTTTTTTTACGTGTAAGGCTAATCTTTTCCAGATGTTTCAGCTTTCACAGTGGGCTCACCTGCTGCATGATCATTTTTGCCCCCTGGGAAAGATTTGCACACACCATAGAGAGTGCCTCTACCCAGATTACACCTTTAGGATGCTTTCAGTTTATATATTTATTTTGATGCTTTTCTTATAGCTTCTGTTCAATGACTGTAGTAAAGAAACAATCTTTCTAAGACGACCTTACCTGCTGTGTCCCCTGTGTGTAATGGAGTGGTAGAGTGAGCGATGATGGCCCACAGTGGTGTGGGTTTGCGCTTTGCTACTGCTTCCTAGTGGTAGACCCATAAGCTGTGCAGACTTTTTGCTCCACTAATATTTGTTGGAGCTAATGGATTAGTTTTTCATTTGGTCAGCTAATGCTCTTTTCTCTGCACTGCTTGAAGGGTATTTATTTTGAAGAAGAGGGTACAGTGAGCCTGCTGGTGAAGCCTGGCTAGTATTTGAAAATAGGGAATTGCTATCTTGACATCTCAATGTTGGTATTGTTGACATTATTACTTTCTCATAGGTGGTGTATGATGGACTTTTTGGTGCAAATACAAACTCAAAATTAAGAACATTATCTCTGCAGTTTGTGCATCACATTTGTATAATGTAAGTTTCGTGAACTTAATCATTTCAAGCTGTTTGAGTGATTAAATGATTCAGGTGTATCACTTTACCAATCTTACCTACAAAGCAAAAGCATTTGCTCATCTTTAAAAAAAATGTCAACTTTCATCAGATTATTTTAAGTTGTTTCAGTTTCATTTTCTAATTACATTAAATAATTATCTGAAAAGTTAAGCACTTATAAGCTGTTCTTAAATTATGGATAACTTATTTCATATATGTGCTGTTGTTGCTTTTTTTTTAAGTTGTCCAGAAATCAAGATTAAACCGTTAGGTCCAATGCTTTTGAACGGCCTCACCAAACTAATCAATGAGCATAAAGAAGTAAGTGACACTTCCGTGAAATTTTATATTTTAAAGTATTTCTGTAATGTTTCTGCTCTATACATAGCTTACTACTCATCATTTCCTAACATTTCAACTTAAAATGGTACAAATTTCATAAATTATCATATATATATTGCTCTATTTAGAAATCAGTGAAGAAGACTGATGAATATGTTGGGTCTTGTTTAAATTACATTTTAATAGCAAATTGCATTTGATGGTATTTTTAGGAACTATGTGCTAAGATAGAATTAAAGAAATTATTTAAAATGTATTTTTAAACTTATTTCCATTAGGAAACTTAATTCTTAGGGACTGAGATTTTATTGATTTCAAAATTCTATGTAAACATGCATTCAGTAAATTTTTTATTTCGTAAGCTAAGTGGGATGAACATTCCTTGAATTGTAGACTTGGAATCCTGCTTTTCCTTGACTGTATCTTTATCTCCAGCGAGTTTTTGTTAGTATTATTTTTCTAAGTTTTAAGTAAACATGAATGCATGTTTGTAATAGTATAGTAATCAAGATTGTGCTGTTTGGGGCTAGACTTGAAGTTGAATCCTGGTTTTATTCTTTGGTCAGTAAACTAAAAAGTTCTTTATGCTTCTGTTTCTTGTCTGAACAATGGAAATAATACTACCCATCTCAGGACTATTGTGAGGACTAACTGAGATAGTACACATAATTGTTCAGGCAAAAGAAGGCCCTTAGGAGACTCAGTAACTTGTGAGAAGTGGCTCATTTGTTGTTCAGCTACGTTTTGTGGGTAGTGTTGGGCCAGGCTCCTCTACTTTCTTTCTTCCATTGAGTGCTATTTGTGTGATTTTTAAGAGTTAGTGAGCCTTTCAGATTAGTTTCATGCATAAATAGATGCTTTGGGTGGTTGGTAGAAATAAAATGCTTTGGGGTTATTAGCACAAAACCAAACTCTCTCTCTGTATAACGTCTGTATATACTCATGTATAAGCCGAGTTTTCCAGCACCGTTTTAATGCAGTTTTTGTGGTAAAATTAGGTAGATTATAGAGGCTAGATAGCCACAGGCTAACAGTCCCCTTACCCTCCATGATACCTGCACTTTTTCCCTAACACATGACTTCTTGAGTAGCCATTTAGGTATGACAGGGCAAATCCTACAGTGGTAAAAACAGTCAGCTGAAGTAAGCTTGTTACTGTGTCCTGAGTAGTAAAGTAATTCAGCCCATGTGGGCTTTCTTCAGTCCATGTGATTGCATCTCTCTCTTGAAGAAGGGACCTACCTCACTCATTCATCTGATGACCTGTGTATTAAGGTCGAAGTACAAGGACAAGTTGTTTATTACGGTGCAGATATTTAGATAATGGCATTATAACATAATGTAATTTAGGTGAGAGATGAAAGATCGTAGTCCATTGGAGCATGGGTTACTTTTCTAATAAGTTAAGCTCTTTTCCTAGTGTGTGAAAGATGAAATTTGGTATTATAAGGTGACAGAGTGTTGAAAAGATCCTCAGATTAGCACCAGTTCAGGGAAACTTTCTGTGACTTGTGCAACTTATTCTTGTTGTGAAATGGAGGTGCCAGCATCTGGTGCTTTTCCTTTTAGTTTTATTGACATGGATCCTGGGGTTGCAAACCCTGCCTTCCATTTAGATGCTAATATTGTCTAGTTTGGCAGAGAGAGAGTCATGGTTAATAAGGAGTAAATAATACATGTAATTGCAGCAAAAAGTTTTGCTCTTTACTATGCCTTTTTTCTCCCCTTATTTCAAGGACCCTAAACTGTTGTCCATGGCATATTCAGCTGTTGGAAAACTCTCCAGGTGAGTAAACTCTTTTAAAGCAAGGCATTATATTTTAGTGAGCCATATCCTGTTGGTAAACTTAAAACTTGTGGCATTTAGTAAAGAATAGAGGATAAGTCTGTTGTGAATCAGGAAGGAACTAATTTAGTAGCCAAAGCTGTTTTAAAACGTCTTCCCCAGAAGGAAAACTATGTGAGACAGTTAAATTTACATGAGACAATATGATAACATAGTCACTGACAGTCTTGAAATGAGATGTTGAACTGGCTTATGTTAAAATGGGTCTCATTTATTTAATACCCAAGATCGACATGTTTGCTCCAAGTGTTTCTGTTGCCATTTACTGCTAGTGCTCATAATCCCAATGATGAAGATTTTCCCAGCAATTCTCTTTTGTGGTAGTATCTATATTATTATTCCTAGTGGTCACATTTCTAAAGATGTACTTCTTTCTTTTGCTCAGTCAGTTCAACTCATCCTAGTTCCTCCGAGTATCATCTTTCATAATGTTTCAAAACAGAGAAGTTGAGGTAATGCTTCCTCAGTAGAACCATGTGCACCTTCTGTCTCCAGTGGAGGTTCTGTGGAGATGAGAGCTTACTCTTCTCTGTTACGTAAAGACTGGAGCCCCAGACTGACTGCTGCGGCAGGGGTAACAGCACATAGCCCCTGTAACCAAGCTCCTTTCATGGTAGCTTTTAGTTTATCTTGCAATATAGTCTTAGTGATTTTCTCTGTGTTAAAATCAGAAATGTTAACTCAATACATGACATATTATAAAGAGTGAATATCCAGATAATAAAGGAGGCGTCAAAAAGTTTGTGGAAGTATTTTATTAATTAACTTTTAATTCTATTCTTGTGAACTTTTTAAGCCCCTTCAGGTGTGTGTTTATACAGATACACACAGATATACTAGAATGATTACTTGGATTAGAATGTTAAAGACATTAAACATTTCCTTTAAAACTATTTTGCTCTTTGGGTAGGTGTTGTCATGATAACCTTGTATCTAGAAATGAGAGTGCAACTTTAGGAACATTGAATGTGTAGCTTCATTTTCTCCTTTGTTTTCGTCTCATGGAAATTTTTGATAGCAACAGTGGTCTTGCATTCTTTTGCAGTCGAATGCCTCATTTATTCACTAAGGACATAGCTCTTGTGCAGCAGCTTTTTGAAGCCCTGTGTAAGGTAGGGAAACGGCTGTCCAGTCTGTGTTTTCTGTTCGTTTGTTCCTTGGAGACCCAATGGGGAGGGAAACACTTTCTGTCATTTTTATAGGAAGAACCTGAGACTCGACTCGCTATTCAAGAAGCGTTATCTCTGATGGTTGGAGCGTACAGTACTTTAGAAGGAGCACAGCGGACCCTCATGGAGGCACTTGTGGCTTCCTACTTAATAAAGGTAGGGCCAGTGGCCAGTCGTAGCCATATTTTCCATGGTTAAGAACAGAATTAGAATTGTTTTTACTTTAACCATTTTGATAAGTAAAAGTTGTTTTCTACTGGGACTATGATAGTCTTAAGGGTTTTTTTGGGGAGGGATGGAAATTTAATTGTAGAGGAGTAGGAATTTTCACAGTAAAGTTTCTATGTGAGAAAAATAATTTTGATTGTTGTGCCATGTATCCCTGGTGATGCGATGGATTAAGCATTGGGTTGTCAACCAAAAGGTTGACAATTTGAACCTACGAGGAAGGTGAGGTGGTCTGTTCAGAACTCTGTGGGGCAGGGCTACTCCGTGCTCACAGGGCCACTGTGAGTCCGACTGCACTGGGCAGTGGTAGACTTAATGATAAGTTTTCAAGTTGGAAGTGTCTTTCTTGTCTTGTCTTTTTTTAAAAAACAATGTTTTATTGTGTTTACCATGAAAGTTTACATAACAAATTAAGTTTCCATATAACAGATTCTTTTAAAAAAAGTTTTTTTGGGGGGCTTTTATAGCTCTTGTAACAATCCGTACATCAGTTTTCTCAAACACGTGTGCACATGTTGCCATCGTCATTCTCAAAACATTTTCTTTCTACTTGAGCCCTTGGTATCAGCTCCTCCCATTTAACAGTTTCTGTGCAGATGATTCGGTGATGTTGGTTATAGTTTTCCTAGTATCGTCGGTCTCATTCCTTAGTTGTGCCACTTCCAGTACTTTAACGTCCCTTCCCCTACTTTCACATCTTTGCTTTAGAGTAATTTTTGACCATTGGTCTTGTATAGATGATTTTTTTTAAGGGAGCTTTTTGCTTATATGTGAACTTCTTTGTCTTATGAGCCAATGTGTTGTTTAGCTAAAAGGGGACTTTTTAAGGTTTAAAGACTATCTCAGGGCAATCGTCTCTAGCAGTCTTCTAGTCTTAACTGGTTCACTAAGTATGGACTTTTTAAGGAATTTTGGCCTGTTTCACATTTCTCTCTAATTCTCCCACAATCTATTTATTGTGGCCCTGATTTTAAAGGTTGTTAATGGGAGCTAGCACCATCTAGTTTTTATGGTTAGATGAGGCTGTGGTTTGTGTATACTGTTAGTTTTGGATACTTCTTTCTTCTCTTGAGTCCTTGGCTTGCTTCTATCTCTTCTGCTGTGCGTGAATAAAGACTAGTGATTCCATGTTAGATGGCTGTTGGTGAGCTTTTGAGATCCCAGGTACTACTTACCACAGTGGGATGAAGGACATTTATTTTGTGAACTGTATTATATAAATTAACTGAAGTTTTCCATGAGACTATGGTTCCAATACTTAAAACCCAAAACACCAATCTTGCCAAGGTACTTCGTTATGTCTAAATCATATCCATACTGTGTCCCCCCTTTGAGATTCATTGGATATACATGCATTTGCATACATGGATGTAGGTAAATCTTTCTTTACACACTATACTAGGGACTTAAAAGTATTCTTGGAAAAACTGCCTTATCTTTCATGTCCATTTTGCCATGACATTTTTGAAGCCCTCTCATATGTATTTACATATTCATACCTATACACATATATGTATGTACCTATATATTCATTTCCATAGACATAGGAATACCTTGGAAGCAGTGTGGATTCAGTTCTAGAGCACCACAATAAAGTGAGTATCTTAAAAAAAGTGGGTCACAAGAAATTTTATGTTTTCGTACGACACATACATTGATGTTTGCATTATATTGTAGTCTACTAATTATGGAGTAGGACTATGAGCAAGTTTGAAATACTGTATTGTGAGAATTGCCAGATGTGACTCAGGGCCAGGAAGTGAGCATGCACTGTTGGAAAATGGCATCAGTGAGCTTGCTTGATGCAGAGTTGCCGCAAGCCCTCCTTGTCTGTGAAGTGCAAGCCAGTGAGAGAAGCTGTGCACGTGTCTGCATAATCACGGGCAGACTGTTTTGGTGGTGGTTGTTGAAAAATTACATGGTCGTATCTTGTAGGAAATGTCAGTTTTTCCCTGTGTACTTCTTATAAGTATTATTGGCTGTGGTCCAGCTATGGACAGTTCATTCATACCCATGCTCCCTCTCCCCAAACCAAAAATAACAAGAGTCTACTGTCTTGAGAGTGCTTCCCTTTCTCCCCACACCCCTGCCATCCATGGTCGATACCTGTGAACATCGGTTTCTCTTTATATATCCATTCTTGTCTTTATAAAACCATAATCATACAGTATCATTTTGTGATTGCTTATTTTAATCAACACAGTGCCCTCCAGATTCATTCATGTTGTAACATGCTGCAAGGACTTAACACGCTCACTCTTTTGTTTTTCTTTTTTAACATTTTATTAGGGGCTCATACAACTGTTATCCCAATCCATACACACATCAATTGTGTAAAGCGCATTTGTACATCGTTTCTCAAAACATTTTCTCTCCATTTAAACCCCCGACATTAGGTCCTCATTTTTCCCCTCCCTCCCCGCTCCCCACTCCCGCATGAGCCCTTGATAGTTTATAAATGGGTATTTTGTCATATCTTGCCCTGTCCGACGTCTCCCTTCATCCACTTTTCGGTTGTCTGTCCCCCAGGGAGGAGGTCACACACAGCTCCATGTAATCAGTTCCCTCTTCCCTACCCACTCTCCCTCCACCCTCCCTGTTTCGCCACTCATACCACTGGTCCTATAGGGCTCATCCATCCTGGATTCCCTGTATTTTCAGTTCCTATCTGTACCAGTGTACCTCCTCTGGTCTAGCCAGACTTGCAAGATAGAATTCGAGTCATGGTAGTGGGAGCGGGGAGGAAACCTTTAGGAACTAGAGGAAAGTTGTATTTCTCATCATTGTTACATCGCACCCTGACTGGCTCATCTCCTCCCCGAGACCCCTCTGCAAGGGGATCTCCAGTGGCCTACTAATGGGCTTTGGATCTCCACTCTGCACTCCCCCCATCATTCACTATGGTAAGATTTTTTGTTCTGATGATGCCTTACACCTGATCCCTTCGACACCTCGTGGTTGCATAGGCTGGTGTGCTTCTTCCATGTGGGCTTTGTTGCTTCTGAGCTTGATGGCCGCTTGATTACCTTCAAGCCTTTAAGACCCCAGACGCTAGACTTTTTGATAGCCGGGTACCATCAGCTTTCTTCACCACATTTGCTTATGCACCCATTTGTCTTCAGTGATTCGTTCGACACCCCGTGATCATACAGGTTGATATGTTGTTCCATGTGGGCTTTGTTGCTTCTGAGCTAGATGGCCGCTTGTTTACCTTCAAGCTTTTAAGACCCCAGACGCTATATCTTTTGATAGCCGGGCACCATCAGCTTTCTTCACCACATTTGCTTATTCACCCGCTTTGTCTTCAGCGGTTGTGTCGGGAAGGTGAGCATCATAGAATGCCAATTTACTAGAAGAAAGTATTCTTGTAACACGCTCATTCTTTATAGCTACGAAGTATTTGTTGTATTCACTTAATATATATAATAGTTGAAACATTTTATTCATTCATTCATCCATTGATAGGCATGTAACTTGTTTAGATCTTTTTGCTATTATGAATTATACTGTAAAGAATATAGATTTGTATATATTTGTACATTTCACTGCCCTTATATCTCTTGGAGTAGGATTGTTGGATCACAAAGTATTTCTATTTGTAGCTTTTGAGGAAGAATCATACTATTCCGTCTTCCTAACTGGTAGTTGTACACTAGAGTCTCTACACTAGAGCTGTACACTAGAGCTGTACAATTGAGAACTCTGGTTCTACTGTAGTCCTAGTTAGTCATTATGGTAAATAGAATGTATAAAACGTGCCGATGCCATCATACATACCTTTCTTCAAGTCTTTCTTATTTTGTTGTCATGAGAGTTTGTAGATGACAAGTCTGAATAGACTTGATAATGGCAGTGAGTTTGGTTTATTATTATTACTATTTTTACTATCATTGTTCTTTAATGTAACCCAAGGAACGCTAAATAGCAAGAATCCTCAAATGATTTGAGCAGCCCCAGTACATTCTTACTATCTTGTGTCACTTACATTTGTAGCTGGAGGAATGTCCTTGGGAGAAGGCACATGGGAATATATCTTCAAGGTCAAGAGATTCTAAACCTGCTCTTTTGGTCGTACTTTATTTCTCTAGATTACCAGTCTATTTAAGTTAATTGAATATATTTTAGTATTTGAGACTTTGGTCTTGGGATCAGTTTTAACTTCCAACATAATCTGAAGAAGTTGAAGGTATTTTGCTTGAAGTGGAAAGGACTTCAAGTATGTTCTGTGGCTCCTGCAAAATGCATGCATTTCGCTAGTAGGTGACTGAGAATTTGACATTTGGGGAAGCATGGTGGCCATGGAGGGTGGTAGTGGTCGTAGTACATAGTACGCTGTAGTGACCGTGAACTCAAGGTTTGGGCTTATGCTTTTCAAAGAGATTCTCTAGCTATGATCTATTTGGGTCTTCGTGCTCTACCTGGACTATCATCTTAGATGATAGTCTTAGATGTGAAAATACTTTTTAAGTAATGCCTCTTTGGATAAGTTATTTGTCTTGCTTTTATTGATTTTATCACACCTGTATTGAAATGTCAACTTAAATATTGAATCATTAATAATTTGGATGACTGTCTTGAAGTATTTATCATTTCGTTTTCTTCTGTCTCTGTATGTTTGTGTGTCAAATAGCCTGAAGTTCAAGTTCGACAGGTGGCTGTGAAGTTTGCAAGCACAGTTTTTCCCTCAGATCATATACCTTCCAGATATTTACTCTTGTTAGCTGCAGGAGATCCGTAAGTTTCAAATTGTGCTCATCTGAATTTGGATTCTTTTGAAATTTGGAAATGATTAAATTTTTGTTGTTTGCAATATTGATCTGTGAAATTTAGACACATGTTTTCAAATAGCTAAAAGTATGGCTCTTGACATACAAACTCGTAGTCATACACCTATATATTTATCCAGTAATATAGATTTTATATGTGCACATATAACTATATAATGCATACATACTACATATATACAAGGGGTACCCCAAAAACCCCAGAATTTTTTCAAAAATATGTATTTAAAATTTTAAACAAAGCAACCATATCACCTTCAAAGTACTCTCCATTACACTTAATAGTTTTGTCAGATACGCTGTTTCATTCTTGGAAAGTTTTCAAACTCATCTGTTTGGATCCCTGGCAGTACCTCCCTTGTTTTTTTCTTCACCTCTTCTATGTCATCAAATTGCTGTCTTTTCATGTCCCTTTTCATTC